CTTAGATGTTGTTCTTCATCGACGTCGTATGCGAATCGTAATGCGGGCATTATATTACTTCTTGTTCTTTCTTAAACTTGTCAATGAGCATTTGTGCATCTCCTTCTTCAAGATACGCATGCAGATCTCGCTTAAAGTTCATGAACTCCATGTTTGTTCCTCCGACGTTTGAATAAATCCCAACCATCTCTTTCTACAGTTTGAATGTCTTTGAAGGTCCAATGTTTGTCCTTGCACAATTAGCCATGAACGCTTGGTGACCTAATTTCTCAACCAGTAAATTCCCTACTTTCCTGAGTGCAGTGACGGCCATCATTGTATCCATTCTCCACACCAACCTACTTGTAAGCAATAAAGTAATTTAAAAAAATAAAATACACAGTTCTTCGTCTCCTCCTCTCTGTCGTGGGGTCAGCCTCCAACGACGTGCACCTCTCCATTAGAGTCCTAAGTTTACCATGCTTAATCTCCTAAAATCAAGCAAAAAATCCTTCTCAATCTTAATTCACGTGTCTAAACCCATTTACTATTACTCTTTTGCCCTTAATTACCTTCGTTTGATGTCAGCTTCCCATTTAAAGACTACAGATCTAAGCCCTCCATCCAACAAAATCCTACGACTATTAATTGTTCTTCCGTTCTCATATAATACTAGTTCTCATGTAAAGGGAACCCTATATATATATATATATATATATATATATATATATATATATATATATATATATATATATATATATATATATATATATATATATATATATATATATATATATTAGTTCCTGTGAGGTCAGGTCTTCCCGTGCGGTCAGTGCGGCATACACCATTAGGTATGCATAAATTTCACTAGTACAAAATTGCAGATAGGCAACCGTTGTAAAAGACAATAGGCGACCATCGTACAATGGTTGCCTATGAGAGGCTCGCGGAAAGGCATCGACTTTGCACGACCATTGCGATATGGTCGCGCATTGTCAGTAATATGCGACCATTCTTGACCAAGAATGGTCGCGTATTGTTTTTTTATTTTTTTTTACAAAAGTTTTACGCGACGGTTCTTGGCCAGGAACGGTCGTGTATTGTTGATTTAAAAAATTAAAAAAAATTAAAAATAATTTTAAAACTATATTTATTATTTTACACCATGTACAATTACATATTTACAATACTAAACTAAAAATAATTGAAAGCTACAAAAGAAAATATTAGATTTTAGTTTACAATAGTGTTAGCAGTGCCTTCCACTTTTTATATCACATTACATACAAATCAAAAGAAACGGATCACAACCTGCAAGTTTTAATGCATTCCACAACATTTCTTCGTGTTCCGAAATGCCAAATAAGCACAAAGTAGCAGCCTGAACACCAAATACTTGCCATAATAGTCCATTTAATATGTTACAATCTAAAGAAAAGAACAATAAAAAGACAAACCTTGGGATGCATATACAACCAAAACCTTATATGGTGCCAAGGATTATAGGGTATGACTCTTGAACACATGCAGTCTTCCATGGAAAGCCAGCACTGCAAAATTTTAAAGTGAGGAAATAGCGTTTTAAAACCAATAAACAGATGGCTCCATAAAAGAAAAGCAATGTCACATGGGCGTTTTCTACAGTTAAGGACTAAGAATCAAACGGATTGTACAGACTACTAACATAGAACAACCGAATTGAAGCTATCATCATAAATATAGATAATGCATATACCTTCTGACAAAGGTAATCTCTACTTCCAAGTACACAGCATGCAATTTGTCGAGCTGAAAAGAACTGAAGCTTCTTTTCAGAATCTCCTAAGGACTTTTCTCTATGTTTCTTATCTTCATGCACCTTGAAGTCTCCCTGATGATCAGAACAGATAACTGAACAATGATTCAGAGAACTGATTATAGAAAGACTTTCTTTTTTTTAGAGTGGGGGAGGGGGGCATGTGTATGTATAATGCTTATTTAGGAAATTATCAAATCCTTAGAATTGCTATACATAATTCCCTTCAAGAGGCATTTGAGTTTCAGCACACTAGACTTAAATAGATAGTACTTCTCAAAAATGGATATTTTTAAGTCAATACATAGTACTCCTCAAAATTGTCTTCGTAACTCTTAACTCTTAACTTTTTCATTTTAAAACTGTGAAACAAACCACACAAGTATAAAGTAATTGATTTACTTGCCTCAGTTCTCTTTAAAATACGACCAATTGGCTCATCCATCTCTGCAAGCACACGAACTGATTTTGCAAGACTTGAGATCTATAAAAACATGGAGAGAAAACCACAAGGAACAAGGATTACCCCTTCTGTAAAACAATGGAAAGCAAAACAACATATAGCATAATTAAGAAATGCCATACTTTTTTGAAGAAATGCCTAGAAATATGGTTGCATGTAGAAGAAGAATTGAAGAAGGTTGCAGCAATGATGAGGTGAAAAGAAGCCCTAATTTACTCAATCATATGATATGATGATGATGATGATGAAGCAGTCTAGACTCAAAAAGGTGATGTAGTAGGAATTAAAGACACAGAAATCACACAGCCATGATGATGAACATGTGCCAAAAGTAAATAAGAAATTCACCATTAATTTCTAATGCGGTTGTGCGTACGTGCTAGACTCGACCCAGCAATATAATCATCAATTTATTGTCTTCAACCTCAACAACAAAGAAGAAGAACAGAAAGGTAGGGTCAAAGCCCTTCATCATTATGCCAATTCATATTCCTCAGCTCCCTGCAAAAATACAAAACAAACTTCAATAATTCACATGAAAACTCTCACCATATATATATATATATATATATATATATATATATATATATATATATATATATATATATAATTAAATCTAATTAATCAAATACCTAATTAAGTCATCCAACAACCTAATATGTAATTAACAAGGTACTATTGAGCCAAATTCACATATTCACATATATAAAATTATAAAAATCATAAAATATCACATTTATTTATTTATTAAAATAATAATTAAACAAATAATATATATATATTAAAAAATAAAAAATAACTAACCTGCAGATCGGCGCTGGGGAGGCGGCAGTGGCGCGGCGTCGGCAAGCTTGCCTGAACGGAGATGGTCGAATCTTCGACGGTTCTCCTCGCCAAATCTCACCCCTGTCTCATGCTCGAAGCCAAAGCTCGCTGCAATCTTCTAGTTTTATGATCCTAGAGAGCTAAAAACACATATGGTTGTGAATTAAATGACTGAAACCGACATGCACAGCAGAAAGTTGAGCATTCTAGTGAGCTAAAAAACAATTGAAATGAAATTTTCAGCACTTAATTGAAGCAACCTACAGAAAAGAAATGCAAGGATAACAAGATAAAGAGCTTTTTCATATTGCATATTTTATACTTCACTAGGCACGAGATATAAAAACTATACTCACATACAAAATATAAAAACCTGCTTTTAATTCAATAAAGAAAATCACAATTAAAATCACAATTATATGTAAACTATCAAGTTACATTAAATCATGATCTAAATTACTTTGCAAGTTGAAAACTCAAAGCACATGATGAGTTGCAGTTCATCAAAGTGACAGAACAATAACAAGTATAGTACCTGCAAAGTCAATTGAAACAAACAAAATCTATAAGGATAATTCAATGGAAGGGCAAGGGCACTTGTGAACAATTTTATTTACTTAGTTTGGAAACTCAAATTAGTTCGTTAATTTGGTGTTAATCATCTCTTAGGAAACCTGTAAAAAGCAAGTAATATAGGTTGGGCTTTAAGTGATCTTGATCTTAGAGTTTGCACACAACTGGATTGAGATTTATTAAACTTTACCTGCAATTTCAAATTTACCAATAAAATTATAACTTGAAAAATAATTCAAACAGTTATAATGGAAAAGACACACACACATATAGCCCAGGGGGTGTAAATAAGGATCTCTGCCAGTTTCAACATGCAAGTAAGTAGTCGTTTCACAAATTGATATGTCTGCAGAAAGACCATAGCCACCACTCCTCAGATTAACAACCTGTAGCCATAAATTGATATTATCAACTCAAAACTCAATTCCATAACTTATCCAAGGAAATAAAGGAAAGGATTCCCAATTTAAGAAACTACTAAATTTTGAATTACAAGGCAAGTAAGAACTCTTAAACTAACTATAAAATTGTTAAATAACTTATTTCTAGACCTATGACTAAGGTTTCTGAAATAGATCATATCTCCCTCTAAATGCATTGACCATGATGCCTCCACCACCTCCATTTCTCACCCCTACCTCTCTCATTTTCTTTAATATCATCCGAACACAAACTTAATAAGGTTAAAGAATTAACTGCAGACATACAAACCAGTCATTTGCACAACAATGTCTTATATTATATCTAGAACTTGTTTGCAGAGTAAACACAGCAAATCTAAAAGTTGCACACCAAGGATATTACCATAGTAATTAGATAGCAAGATTATATCCCAGACTAATTTATTACCCAAAAAAACTCACAAAGGACTGGTAATTTATTAGCAGATGAATTCTGTTTAGACTTCTGTTCTTGACTACAATCCAAGAGAACCCATTGCCTGTTGGAAACAGAAAACCAGAGGCAGAAGAAACTGAGTTTGAAGCTGAAGATAACGAAACTAAATGAAACTAAACAGGAAATAATATATCAATTGAAGCTTTGGTTCAATTTTAAAATACAAAAACACAATAGTGATAATGCTTAAAATAATAATAACATTATGATAGTATCATCCAAACATCTATGCAATTAGTATTAAGAATAACTTAAATGCAATGCTTTAAGAAATCTCACAATGGCCATAGATTTGTTATCAGGAAAATTCTCCTTGTAATTCTTGCGGAAATCACTCTTGTATACAATAAAATCATTGCAATAGCAGAAACAAAATCAAGCAAATAGAAAAAAAAATATATGAAATAACATAACAATATACATGAACAACAGGAATGCAGTGGGAGGACGCTTCGAAGCTCTAGAGTCCTTCTTCACCCGCCCCTTCTTTGTTGCGTCCACATCAGCCTTGCGTTTCTTCGTCGAGCTTAACAAAAAATAACGAAGGAATTAGCAAATAGTGAGTATACACATACAGTGAACAAAAATTGGATGAGGAGAGAGACGATATACTCAATGTCGAGCTTCTTCTTAGAAACGGAGGTAGCCCTGAGTCCCTTAACGGTGGGTGGCAACGGAGCGACGGTGGATGGAGTGACGGAGCGATGAAGATTGTTTTAGATCTGAGGTGGATGAAGATTGTTTTAATCTGAGATGCGATTTCTGATTTTGGGTAGATCTAGGGTTAATATTAGGGCAACCATTTCTATTAGGAATGGTTGCCTATTATAAAACAATTTCTATTTTAAGGCAACCATTTTTATTAGAAACGGTTGCCTATTATAAATCAATTCTTTTTTAAATAAATAAAAAATATAATGGGCAACCATTGCAGCTAATAATGGTGGCGCATTATTGATCATTTATTTACAAAATTGCCACCGCAAATATTTGGGTTAAGATTAGACAAACATTCTTTCAACAATAGGGGCCTATGGTCAATCTTCTATATTCAATTTTGTACTAGTGAATGCACCATAAACTGTTCGAAAATACACCAGAATGAAATGTTAAAAAATACACCATACAAAACAAAATACACCATACATAATGGTGTATTTACAAACACTGTGTGGTGCATTTATGCATACCTAGTGGTGTATGCCGCACTGACCGCACGGGAAAACCTGACCATATATATATATATATATATATATATATATATATATATATATATATATATATATATATATATATATATATATATATATATATATATATATATATATATATATATGTTGACTCAAAGTGTTTTGTCAAAGTTGTGCAAAAAGAATTCCAGTTCTATAAAGGAATATCACTCATAAGAGGAATAACTAATGAAGAATACTAGTTCTAGAGGGAATTGTTATTGAAGTTTTTCTAGTTCTAGTTTGATTAGGAATAGCTTTGTTATTCACAAATATGTTAGGAGTAGTTACTATAAATAAGGATTGCCCTTTATTGTAGAACTCAAGCATTCAACATTAATCTTGTGAGGTACGAGAGTCTTTGAGAATAGGATACTAAATTCCCCTAGAAAGTAGTACATGTGTTTAGGTTTCAATAGTTTGGTAGGAAAGATCATTCTATTGTATAATTTCAGGTTCCAAACAGTGTACTTTAAATATTGAGCTTTTAGTGGATTTAGGCAAGTTCTCAAATTGAGAAGTGCCTCGCAGATTAGGGTTGTTTGCCCGAACTGCGTTACAAATCGTTTGTATTACAACGTCAGTTTCAACATCACTGTGTGCTACTCTTTACAAATTTTTTCAATATATATATATATATATATATATATATATATATATATATATATATATATATATATATATATATATATATATATATATATATATATATATATATATATATAGGGATCAGGTGAATTTGTTGCTTCCCGTGCGGATGTGCGGTGGATTAATGTGCGTGAGGTTTATACTTAATGTGCGTGAGATTTGTACTCAATGTGCCTGAGATTTATACTTAATGTGCGTCATGTTAATATGCGTGAGTTTTGTACTTAATGTGCCTGAGTATTGTGTTTAATGTGCGTGAGATTTGTGCTTAATGTGCATGAGTATTTCAGAATTACGAGCTCAGAAGGAAGCAGAACAGAAACTCACGCACATTAATGCCCAAGCTTCTTGTTACTTCTTCCTTCAATTTGGCCATGACAGCGGGTGTTCAAGGCATATGACAGGAAATCCAGAAAATCTTGAAAACATTCAGTATAAGAATGAAGGACATATTACCTTTGGAGATGGAGGAAAAGGCCAGATCATTGCAAGCGGCATCTTGAATGTCCATGGGCTGCCTAGGTTGCCAAAAGTCCTTTTAGTACAAAGTCTAAAAACAAATCTAATCAGTATAAGTCAGCTTTGTGAAGATGAACTCAAAGTATAATTCTCTAAAGACAATTGCACTGTGTTTAATCAGAATCACAAGTGTGTCATGATGGGAAAAAGGTCCGCAAAGAAATATTATACATGGAATGGTGACCTATCTGGTTTACAGACAACTAACAAGCAAAAACAATCACGGCACCAACATATGGGACACATAAATTCTCATGACATCAAAGGGTAGAGCTGTCGAAATGGGCCGGTAGGGCGGGGCCCGCCAAAGACCGCCACATGGCGGGGGTGGGCTAAAAAGCCTGCCAAAATACGGACCTAGGGGAGGTTGGCCTGCCCCGCCCCGCCTTAAGCCCGCCGGCCTTGGCGGGGGCCCGCCATACGTTGAAAGTTTTAATATTAAATAAAAATTATATTAATATAAAAAATGTAATAAGTGTACACAAAAATAATTTGGATAGTTTAAACATATATTAATGCATTTGTACTTTTTAAAACACAATAATAACTAACAAATAATCAAATACATAATGTGTTAATCCATAAATTAATAACGAATCATTTATACAATTTACTAATTTTTTTAACTTAATTATATATATATATATATATATATATATATATATATATATATATATATATATATATATATATATATATATATATATATATATATATATATATACATATATATATATATATATATATATATATATATATACACTTTTATAGCAATTATCTATTATATTTTTTATTTTTTTTACATTTGGCGGGCTTCCGCCGGCCTGCCAAGCCCGCGGGTTAGGCGGGGCGGGTAAAAAAGCCCGCCAAAATACGGGAGTAAAATATCAAAGCCCGTCCCGCCCTTTTCGCGGGGCGGGGCGGGCTTACCAGGCGGGCTAAGCTTGTTTTGACGGCTCTATCAAAGGGGACCAAGAAATATTCCTAGACTATTCAAGTTATTCATCAAACAGTAAGACCTTCAGTGCAGACAGTACAATGGAATCCATGAATGTGGTTATTAATGACACAATTTCAAGAATAACCACTAATGATGACGAAAGTCCCATAGTTGTTGAAACAACTGTTCCAACACCTCTGACTACTGTTATGCAGAATCACAAAACAGAAACAGAACCAGATGAAGAAAAGGATGATGGCTCTTCAACGATCATTATGAGCCCTGTTCTGATTTCACAGGAACCCTACCAAAATATTCAAGACGAACGCGAACCACCTCCAACCTGTTTGTGCGAGACAGCCCTGGAGGGCGAGGGTGGTATGACGGTTGCAACAAAGCGTTTTCCGGCGATGATTATGTCACCAGAAATTGGAGAAATTCCAGTTGCGTCTGGGTTATCCCATGAAGATCAGATCGGATATTTTAGAGATCATTTTGAAGAGCTTTCACCTGATTTTGTGCTATATCCAGAAATTAATGATGGCGCAGAATTAGTACGTTTGAAATTCCGGTCAGGAAATCTAGATGCGATCGTAAGGCAGAAGAGACCGATTGATGGAATCTCAGTGGATTCATGTTTGCATGGCCAGAATACATCTCCGATTAAAAGAATTCTCGACAGATTGTCTCAGCTTTGGCATCGCGCTCCTCCGATGTGCAATTTCCCTTCGGGATGTCGCGATTGAGGAGAAGTGATGAAATCAAAGGCGCTGGTGGTAATAACAGAGGAAGAATAAATCAGAGGAGAAATTAGCTGTGATAGGCTGATATAATTGGGAATTTTTTTAAAACAAATCATACTCAACGATAGCACTCACCAATAACAGAGATACATGGAATCAATTAAGGGGGAGATGAGTCAAAAGTCAAAGTTATTTTTTTTTTTACATGGAATCAATTAAGGGGGAGATGAGTCAGAAGTCAAAAGTTTTCTATGGAATCAAGGTTTTTGCCGAAAATTTGACAAAGGGGGAGAATGTTGACTCAAAGTGTTTTGTCAAAGTTGTGCAAAAAGAATTCCAGTTCTATAAAGGAATATCACTCATAAGAGGAATAGCTAATGAAGAATACTAGTTCTAGAGGGAATTGTTATTGAAGTTTTTCTAGTTCTAGTTTGATTTGGAATAGCTTTGTTATTCACAAATATGTTAGGAGTAGTTACTATAAATAGGGATTGCCCTTTATTGTAGAACTCAAGCATTCAACATTAATCTTGTGAGGTACGAGAGTCTTTGAGAATAGGATACTAAATTCCCCTAGAAAGTAGTACATATGTTTAGGTTTCAATAGTTTGGTAGGAAAGATCATTCTATTGTGTAATCTCAGGTTCCAAACAGTGTACTTTAAATATTGAGCTTTTAGTGGATTTAGGCAAGTTCTCAAATTGAGAAGTGCCTCGCAGATTAGGGTTGTTTGCCCGAACTGCGTTATAGATCGTTTGTGTTACAACGTCAGTTTCAACATCACTGTGTGCTGCGCTTTACAAATTTTTTCTATATATATATATATATATATATATATATATATATATATATATATATATATATATATATATATATATATATATATATATATATATATATATATATATAGGGATCAGGTGCATTTGTTGCTTCCCGTGCGGATGTGCGGTGGATTAATGTGCGTGAGGTTTATACTTAATGTGCGTGAGATTTGTACTCAATGTGCCTGAGATTTATACTTAATGTGCGTCATGTTAATATGCGTGAGTTTTGTACTTAATGTGTCTGAGTATTGTGTTTAATGTGTGTGAGATTTGTGCTTAATGTGCCTGAGTATTTCAGAATTACGAGCTCAGAAGGAAGCAGAACAGAAACTCACGCACATTAACACCCAAGCTTCTTGTTACTTATTCCCTCAATTTGGCCATGGATTCTAGATTATCAGCTACCTTCAATACAGTTGAATGTTTATATAAATGACGCACGCACAGTAAAATTTGCATAGCAGCAAAGTGTGGATTTCTGTTGTATTATTCCCATAATTCTTAACCACCATAGCTCGCCTCCGCATCATCATCATCAGGGAGGGGGCAAATGACTACTGGGGATGGGGAAGAAGCTGACATCAATATTTTCTGCTGCATTTTACACATTCACGCACATTAAGTACAAATCTCAGGCACATTAAACACAACACTCACGCACATTGAGTACAAATCTCACGCACATTAATCCACCGCACATCCGCACGGGAAGCAACAAATGCACCGAAACCTTTCACTATATATATATATATATATATATATATATATATATATATATATATATATATATATATAATATTGTTAGGAAATAATGTCTATGTGGCTCAAATCTATGAAGACCATGTCATCATCCACGTTGCACGTCCTTATGGTGCACTTCTTGCACGTTCGTCGACCCGTGCGGAGCTTCAAGCAATTGCCGCATCCTTTGCTAATTTAGAGTGTATAAATAGATTAGTTTATTTTCTTTGTAATACACATCTTATCAACATCAAAGTTTGAATTCATTTATTCATTCTTTCTTTCTTCACGTAGATACATACATACATACATATATATATATATATATATATATATATATATATATATATATTTCCTATATTTATATTTTCCCACTTTATTAATTCTATTTGTCATTTATTATATTCTCCCTATTATTTAACTTTTATAATTCTCAATTTTCAATTCTTCGCTTCCGCATTATTCCGCTATATTCCTAACAAGTGGTATCAGAGCGGTTTATTTGAGAATTATTTTCAAAGATGTCGACTGTTACTAAGTTCGATATCGAGAAGTTCGACGGGAAAATTAGCTTTTCTATCTGGAAGGTTCAGATGGAAGCCGTTCTAACCCAGAACGGTTTGAAAAAAGCGCTAGCTGGGAAGACGAAGAAACCGGCTACAATGACTGATGAAACTTGGAGAGATTTGGATGACAAGGCACGTTCAACCATCCAATTGTGCCTGTCTAAAGAGGTTCTACGTGAGGTAGTAAGTGAGGCCACTACGTCAGATTTATGGTCCAAGCTGGATACGCTTTACATGGCCAAAACTCTGGCGAACACGCTACGCCTAAAGGAGCGTCTGTACACAATCCGTATGACGGAAGGTAATTCTATTAAATCTCACTTGGATGAATTCAATTCCATTTTATTGGACTTGGAAAATATTGATGTCATAATTGAAGATGAGGATCACGCTGTTTTATTGCTTGTCTCTCTCCCTAATTCATACAAGCATTTCAAAGAAATTATGCTATATGGTAATAGTAGTGATACCCTTACTTTCGACAGTGTTAAGTCAAACCTTTTGTCCAAAGAAAAGTTTGACTTTGAAATTAAGTCTGAGGACAAAGGTGAAGGCTTGACTATAAGGGGTCGTTCACTTGAATCAGGGAGTAGCAATAAAAATTCTAGATCCAAGTCCAAAGGACGAAAGTCCAACAAATCCTGTAAGTACTGCAAGAAGCAGGGTCATGATGTGACTGAATGCTTCAAGTTAAAAAACAAGCAAGAGAGAGAAAAGAATTCTGTTGAAGCTAGTGTTGTTGAAAGTGATTCAGAAGGCGATGTTATGTTATCTGTTAGTTCTGGTTGCAAACGGAGCGAAATCGAGTGGATTCTGGACTCTAGTTGTACATTCCACATGTGTCCTCACAAAGACTGGTTCGTCTCTCTGGAACCGGTTGATGGTGATGTTGTCTTGCTGGGTAACGATACCCAATGCAAGGTTAGTGGAATTAGAAGTGTGCAGATTAAAACTCATGATAACGTTATCGGGACTCTTACCAATGTTCGGTATATTCCTAATTTGAAATGCAATCTGATATCCTTGGGCACCTTGGAATCTCTGGGGTGCAAGTACAAGCTGAAGGTGGAGTTCTGAAGGTCATAAAAGGCTCTCTTGTTCTCATGAAAGCTTCTCGTTCTGGAAGCTTGTACGTCTTGCATGGCAGTACTGTGACAGGTTCAGTAGCGGTATCCTCATCGATGTCTGATGCGGATCTCACTCAATTATGGCATATGTGTCTGGGGCATATGAGTGAGAAAGGCATGCATATCCTGAGCAAGAAAGACCTCCTTTGTGGTTCAGGTACGGGTAAATTACAATTTTGTGAGCATTGTGTTTTTGGGAAACAGAAGCAGGTTAGTTTCTCTACTGCTACACACCGTACCAAAGATGTATTGGAATACATACATTCCGATTTATGGGGACCAACTAAATTCCAGTCTATGGGAGGCTGTAGATCTATTATTGATGACTTTTCTCGTAAAGTCTGGGTCTATTTCCTGAAACATAAAAATCAGGCATTTTCTATTTTCAAGAAGTGGAAAATACTTGTTGAGACTCAGACAGGTAAAAAAGTCAAGAAGCTCAGGACAGACAATGGCTTGGAGTTCTGTTAGTCAGATTTCAATGACTTTTGTGCAGCAAATGAAATCGCCAGGCACAAGACCTTGCCTGGTAAACCCCAGCAGAATGGTGTTGCCGAATGTTTGAACAGGACTCTATTGGAAAGGGCTTGTTGTATGTTCTTTAATGCTGGGTTATGGAAACGGCGTGATTTTTGGGCCAAGGCCGTTTCTACTGCCTGCTATTTGGTAAATAGATCTCCACATTCATCCCTTGATTTCAAAATTCCAGAGGATGTTTGGTCAGGTAATCCTGTTGACTACTCTATCCTAAGAGTTTTTGGATGTCCTGCTTATGCTCATTCTAGTACGGGTAAATTAAACCCGAGAGCTGTCAAATGCATTTTCCTTGGTTATGCCTCTGAGTCAAAAGGGTATCGTCTATGGTCTCCTGATTCTCGGAAAATCATTCTGAGTCGAGATATCACTTTTGATGAAAATGCACTACTTTCTTCTGGAAAAGTTCCCAGTACAGTTGAGACACAGAGTACTGGTGAGAAGGTGGAGTTTGAGTTCAGGCCTATTGACAGTATTACTACCACTAATGGTAATACTAAAGATGATGCATCTACTAGCACCGCACCTCTCGTCGAGCCACAACGAGAGTATTCCATTGCTATGGATCGTCCTAGGAGGACAATTAAAAAACCTGCTAGGTATGTTAGTGGTGATGAAAACAATTTGATTGCTTATGCTCTTTCAGTGGCATAGGAAGTTGATGGTGATCCATCCTGCGATTTTAAAGCTTTTCCTATTGCTAAGTTCAAGCAGTGCATGAGCTTAGTCGGTTGTTCCAGTTGTTAATTCCCACAGTAGATTTGATCCAAGGTGGAGATTGTTAGGAAATAATGTATATGTGGCTCAAATCTATGAAGACCATTTCATCATCCACGTTGCACGTCCTTAAGGTGCACTTCTTGCACGTTCGTCACCCCGTGCGGAGCTTCAAGCAATTGCCGCATCCTTTGCTAATTTAGAGTGTATAAATAGATTAGTTTATTTGCTTTGTAATACACATCTTATCAACATCAAAGTTTGAATTCATTTATTCATTCATTCTTTCTTCATATATATATATATATATATATATATATATATATATATATATATATATATATATATATATATAGTTGAGTTCAAATGAGGACAACAATATATAGAGGACTGTGAGGACAAATAATGGGCACACAACAAATCAATATCAGACACACAATTTAATACATAATGGCACACAGGAATACATGTAAACATCAGGTTTCGAACCCAGGCTCTATTAATTAATAAATCTATGCGCGCGACTTACAAACTGTGGCACACGACTTCATTCGGCCATGCACACGACATACAGGCTAATGACACACACTATATTTGTCCTCACAGTCCTCTATAATATACTTGTCCTCATTTGAACTCAAGTCTATATATATATATATATATATATATATATATATATATATATATATATATATATATATATATATATATATATATATATATATATATATATGTTAGGAATATAGCGGAATAATGCGAAAGTGAAGAATAAAAAATTGAGAATTATAGAAGTTAAATAATAGGGAGAATATAATAAATGACAAAATAGAATTAATAAAGTGGGAATATATATATATATATATATAGTGGACGCAATGGAATTCACTATATATATATATATATATATATATATATATATATATATATATATATATATATATATATATATATATATATATATATATAGTGAATTCCATTTTTGGTCCTACTGTTATAGGGGTCATTCCAATTTTAGTCCACCATAATTATTTTTGCCACATTGCGTCCACTATTATTAAAAGTGTTTCAATTTTAGTCCACGAAAAATTTAAAATTGGACTAAAATTGGAACACTTTTAATAATAGTGGATGCAACTTGGCAAAAATAATTATGGTGGACTAAAATTGGAAAAGCCCCTATAACAGTAGGACCAAAAATGGAATTCACTCTCTCTCTCTCTCTCTCTCTCTCTCTCTCTCTATCTCTATATATATATATATATATATATATATATATATATATATATATATATATATATATATATATATATATATATAGAGGTAGGGAATACCCCGACCGACATGCCACGTGTTTTATTGTTGTTTATGCAGGTTTACAGGTCGGATATTTCTGAAGGAACTCGGTCGGACCCGACCGGTGCGCATCTCCCGACCGACGTCTTCAACACCCGATCGATGGCTCTTGGATGAGAAAGTTGAGAAGAAGCACGTGGCAACGCTATGCGCTGACAGGTAGGGCTCGCGGGGTGGAGACACGTGGTTGCTACGTGGGTTACATGCCGGCCGGCCGGAGCTGTGTCTCTGGCCTAGCGGCTATAAATACCCACGGTGGCAACAGTGTAAGGGACTTTTGGAACGATCGATAGGCTATTTACAGAGCAGCCCGACCGCAGTCAGTCGGCCCTCAAAATAGCCATTTTAGATTGTATTAGGTCCTTTACTCGATCAATAGAGTCTTTACTTGCTTTCTTGCGATCATGTTGATTTCTTTGACCGCATTACGTGGAATTTACACTATCATTTTGGCTTCGTCTGTGGGGACTCGTGCCCGACAGCTAATGTTTGACGAGCACCGGTTCTTTCTTTCACAATGTATCCATTCCTGTATCACACCCTAGGCGATAATCAAGCAGATGCGGCGAGCTCATCAGATCACCAGCCCACTCAGTATCAAGGTCAGACGGTAGACCTCAATTTCAATCTATCACCGCCTCACCCGACGGCACAATACCCGGTCGCCCAACAACCGGTCAGCTATATTCAACCGGGATATCCACCTCCCGGTCAGCAGTTTCCCTTCCCTGGGCAGTATCCGTACCCGGTCCCACCTCCACAGTATGGGTACTGGCCCGGTCAGCCGATGTATTACACACCCCTGACCCGTTATCCCCAGTATATGCCTGTGCACACGGCTCCAGCCTCCGCTCCTCCGATTTACCCGACTATCCCGACTGAGCCGGAGCTTCAGCCCACTTCCCGGGCTAGGCGCTCGGCTCGTTCGAGGTTGGGGTCGCAGGGTGCCGAGGCCATGGACGTACCACGGCAGGCCCAGCAGGTACAACCGGAGATGCAAGCCCCGGCGGAAGATCCCGAAGAACAAGCCAATCGGGAAGTGGCGTTCGAGCGGCTCCGCCCAGCCATGCGGCAACGATTGGGACCACAGGACCCGAGCCGGCGCTCAGTAGATTTACCGATGAGAGAAGCCAGCCAAGAGGGCTCGTCTAGGCATAGTGGGTCAAGATCACATCGTCGACGACGCGCCCGAGAACCGGCCCAGACCTAGACGATTGAGCTTAATGAGACCCGAGGACTGCTCAACGACCTCCAACCAGAGTTTAATCGGTTTCGAAACGAGCACGCAATAAGGCCCCCGGTCGACCAATCAGCCTCCTTATTGAGGACACCCTTCACGGCAGAGATAATGGCCCAACCTTACCCGCTCGATCTGCAAGTCTCGAGCAACAAGGGTTACGATGGTCGTACGGACCCTGAGGTCCACGTGAACACTTATTACGGCAACATGATGATGATGGGCATGTTTGACGCCGTGATATGTAGGGCTTTTTACTCCACGCTTTCCGGTCGGGCGGCGGAGTGGTTTTGTACATTGCAGCCGGGTTCCATCTCTGATTTTTCCACTTTGGCAATGAAGTTTATGCGGAATTTTGTCACTTCCAAGGTTGTGAGAAAGCCCTACATGTACTTGGAGAAGGCCAAGCAACTGGAGAGGGAAAGCTTGTCCGACTTTTTGGTCAAGTGGAAAGCTGCAGTCGGGGAGGTTGAACCGATGGATGATCTTATGGCCATCTATATGCTCCATATTTCTTTCCGGGCCGGCTATTTATATCATGACTTCATCATCCATCCCCCGACCACGTACGAAGAGGCCCTCCGAAGGGTGACAGATTACGCTAACGCTGGAGAAGCGAACGCCGTCAAGAGATCGCAAGAGGTCGGGACTTCATCCCGCAAACCCACCGGTCGGGCGGAACACCGATCGGGTGATGATCATCCCCGACCCCGCACCCGGCCTGGTGAGTTTACGGCTTTGAACCGATCCGCGGCGGAAGCTATGCAGTACGCCCAATCTTGCAATCTCATTCGCCTCCCTCATCCCAGGCAAGATGGACCGGATAAATCTAAGCATTGCGCTTATCATCGTTGTGCCGGGCATGACACGGAGGAGTGCACACACTTAAGGCAGCTATTGGAAGATTTGCTGAGTCTGGGAAAGCTGAATAAGTGTGTGGGTAAAAGGGAAGAGACAAAGAAAGATACCGATGGGAGAGATCACAGGCGCTCTCACCACCGCTCAGATCGTTCTGATCGTTCTGATCGGTCGGGTCAAGACCGCAGAGACCCGGACCCTCCATCTAGCAGCCGACTGGCGGCCAAACCGACCATCCATGTGATCTTTGGCGGTTTGGAGGACACTTCCCGACCCAGGGAGAACTGCCCGGTCGCAATCGTAGACTCCAGTGATACCGGGAAAAGGCAAAAGATGGAGCCCATCACCTTCACCCTGGAGGATCAACCTAACAGCGGTGACCACAGATTGGAAGCCCTCATGGTCACGATTGATGTGAACGGGACCGATGTCCACAGAGTCATTCTGGACACGGGGAGCAGTGTCAACGTCCTTTATTTGGACGTATTTGGGAAGCTTAACTTGGACAAGAGCGAGTTGATTCCGGTCGGCGTACCCTTGTCGGGATTGAACAGGGCCCTCATTCGCCTAGAAGGTAAAATCACACTCCCGGTCGAGATCGGCACCCCTCCAAAATCTGTTAAGACCGAGTTGGAGTTTGTTGTGGTAAATCTACACTGTGTCCACAACATTATCTTGGGCCGACCAGCCATAATGAAGATCGATGAGATAATTTCAATGCGTCATCTGTGTATGAAATTCCCCACCCCGAACGGGGTCGGCGTGGTACGTGGAGATGTCCAATCCGCGAGGAAATGTTACACCCGGGCCGTCAACAAGTGTGATACTAGCACATCTTCCCGGGTGAATACGATCGTGAAGGAAGTTACCAGTGATCGGAAGGAGCAACCTGAACCTTCCGAGGAAATCGAAAAAGTTCCCCTGTCTGAGGACCGACCGGACAGGAAGATCAAGATTGGTCGGGCCCTTACCCCTGAGCTGCGATTGGAAGTACTGGCAATCCTTCGGGAATTTGCCGATATCTTTGCTTGGGGGCCCAAAGACATGCCCGGGATCGACCGAACAGTCATTTGTCACAAACTTGCCGTAGATCCCCCGGCAAAGCCGGTCGTTCAGAAGACGTGGCATTTATCTTCCGATCGCCGAGAGTTCGTGAGAGAAGAGGTCAAAAAGATGGCGGCGATCGAGCACATCCGACCGGTTATCTATCCCGAGTGGGTGGCAAATATTGTTCTTGTTCCCAAGCCCCTAACATGGAGGATGTGCATAGATTTTACCTACCTCAACAAAGCATGCCCGCTCGACCCGTACCCACTCCCGAGGCATTCATTAAATGGTCGACGAGACGGTCGGGGCCGAGCTCATGAGCTTCATGGATGCCTTTAAGGGTTATCACCAGATAATGATGCACCATGAAGATGACAGTAAGATAGCCTTCGTGACCCCGGATGGGCTGTACTGTTACCGAGTGATGTCGTTCGGCCTTCGCAACGCGGGAGCAACATATCAGAGGATGGTCAATATGCTCTTTGCGGATATTTTGGGCCGAACGATGGAAGCATACATAGACGATATGCTGGTCAAGAGTCGGGACCGAGCCGACCACACTCGGGACCCCCGGGAATGTTTTCAGATCATGCGGAGGTACCAGTTGAGATTGAACCCTAACAAGTGCACATTTGCGGTTCAAACGGGGAAGTTCCTTGGCTATATGATGACTAAGAGAGGGATCGAGCCCAACCCGGCCAAGGTCAAGGCTATTCTGGATATGCAACCGCCCACTACCGTTCGGGAGGTGCAACAATTAACCGGTCGATTGGCAGCCTTGAGCCGCTTCCTCTCCAAATTAGCCAAGCGCGCCTTACCATTCTTCAAGGTATTGCGCAAAGTAAATGGATTCGTCTGGGACGATGAATGCCGAGCGGCTTTCGACGAGTTGAAGGAATATCTTATGTCGCCGATCGTACTGTCTAAGCCCGAGCTCGGGGAACAGTTAGAGGTATATCTCGCCGTATCCGATCGAGCAGTAATTGCAGTTTTGTGCCGAACCGATTCAGAGGGGGTCCAGAGACCGATTAACTATATGAGCCATGCGCTCCATGGTCCCGGGCTCCGGTACTCCCTGTTAGAGAAGGTCGTTTACGCTCTATACATAGCTGCGAAGAAGTTAGCTCCCTACTTCCAAGGAAGAGCTATCCATGTGTTGACCGATCAGCCGATCGGACCAGTACTCCGCATCGCTTCTTCTTCAGGGCGCTTAGTTAAGTGGGCGCTCATGTTGACTCAGTATGCCATTGAGTACCGACCACGACTAGCAATAAAGGGTCAAGCGTTGGCAGACTTCTTGGTCGAGTGTACCGCTTGGGAGACCCGACCCCCGGAGGTTGAGGACCCCGAGGCGGCGTGGTGGTCGTTGGCCACCGATGGATCAAGTAGCAAAAAAGGAGCAGGAGGAGGGGTCGTGGTCACGAGCCTGGAGGGTTTCAAGGTATACTTTGCACTGATGTATCAATTCCATCCGACCAATAATGAAGCCGAGTATGAGGCCTTTGTTAACGGCCTACAATGCGCTCGGGATTTGGGGGCTGACTACATCCGGGCTCAGACAGATTCTGCACTTGTGGTCGGGCAGGTCCTGGGCGACTATGAAGTAAATGGTGAGCGATTACAAACCTACCGGGACCTTACTATGGAGAAGCTCACCTTGTTCCGGGGTTACACCATTCGACATGTTCCCCGACTAGACAATGCTAATGCGGACATCTTGTCTAAGTTGGCACAAGACGCCCCGGAACACATGTCTAAAATTGCTCAGATTTTAGTGATCCCGAGGCACAGCATTCACCGGTTGCCGGTCGCACCCATCCAACCGGCAGAGAATACTTGGATCACAGATTTGATGGAATACATCCAGCACGGTCGGTTACCAGACGACCCCCAACGTGCTCGGAAGGCCAAGCTCAGAGCTCCAAGGTTTCAGGTTCAAGACGGTCGTCTGTACAGGCGGTCGTATGGAGGCCCGCTCATGCGATGTTTGACCGCATTCGAAGCTGACTTGGTAATGAAGGAATTGCATTCGGGCATCTACTCGTCGCATCAAGGAGGCCAATCATTAGCCCGCCGTATCATGCTGATCGGGTATTACTGGCCGTCTCTTTAGCTAGATTGTGAGAAGCTTTCAAGGGGGTGCGAGACGTGCCAATTATTCGCTCGGATGCCTGGACGACCGGCCACATTCTACCAGCCGGTCACAACTGCAATTCCTTTTGCTAGGTGGGGGGTGGACATTTTGGGACCATTCCCGCAACTATCCCGTTGGAGACGGTTCGTCATTATCGCCATCGACTATTTCTCCAAGTGGATCGAGGCCGAGCCATTAGCCACGATCACTTCCCAACAATGTGCTACGTTTCTCTGGCGTAATGTCATTTCCCGGTTCGGCGTGCCCGTTCACCTCATCAGCGATAACGGCCGACAGTTTGTAAGCCAATACTTTCAAAACTTTCTTGCAACGATCGGGACAACATCTATCCGATTGTCAGTAGCTTACCCACAGGGAAACGGATAGGTCGAGAACGCCAACCGGACAATTCTGGAAGGTCTGAAGAAGAAGTTGCATCCTGTCGGTCGAAGCTGGGCCGATGAGCTCCCTTATGTTCTTTGGACTTATCGCACGACCCCAAGGGAAGCAACTTTGGAGACGCCATTCGCCCTAGTCTATGGGGCCGAGGCTCGACTCCCGATCGAGGCATGGATCCCGACCGCTAGAGAGCGATCTTACAATGCTAAGGAAAATGAACACTCCATGGTCGTGGATCTTGACGGGGTCGAGGAAAAGAGAGAGCTAGCCGCTCGGCGTATAGCCGAGTATCAGAAGAGAGTGAAGA